ATATATATATATATCATTAGTACTAATTTTGCAAATAGTGGAAGAAAAATTGTCAACAAGCTCCACTAGAGAGAAAAGTCCTGTAGAGATTAGTGCGGAAGGTAGAACAAGAGAAGTGTCGATATCTCAGACAACACAGGAGAGAAACCAGGACATCCCTCTCCCCAGTGACACTTTTCAGGTCTTCCTTGGGGACCCCGAGGCGTTCCCAGGCTAAAGAGGATACATAATTCTTTCAGTGAGTTTCTTCCTCAGGGCTTCCTACCAGTGGGACGTGCCCAGAAAACCTCCAAAAGGAGGCATCCAAGATGCATCCTACTCAGATGCCCAAATCACCTCAATTGACTCATTTCGATGCTGAGGAGCAGCTCTACTTCCAGCTCCCTCTAGATGATCAAACTCCTCATCCTATCTTTATAGCTGCAGAATAAGACAAAAAATCTGTGAAAAAAATAAGGCTCCTCTGGCCAATCAGAGGTCAATCATGATTGTGTACGCTCTGCTCACGCTCTTCACCCCATCACAGCACCAACGTCATTCAAGCTCAAAACAGCCAATGTGCTGCAGCTGTGCCGATGGAGGAGAAACAAGCTAACATCACAAGAAAACTGACCTTTTCTGAGAGTTCTGAATGTGCCACGTTCACGACAAGCTCCTCTGGGATGAGCTGTGGAAGGTGGGCTGTATGCACAGCAGAAAGCAAGGAGGAGGGCCCATGGTTTTCTCAGAACTCCTTACTGCAGCTTTAAGGCAAATCACCTGGGACTTTTTTGTTTAACACCACACAGAAAATTTGAAGAAAGGACATTTCTTTGCTTGGATTGGCATCACCCCACTGGACGTTACAAAATATCTGAGCATGTTTTTTCTTCAGCTGCACATGACAGGCCTTACTGACGACCAAAAGTAGAGTCAGTAAATGTGTCAAATATAACCTGTAAAATGAACAAAAAGCTCTACACAAACTGAGACAGAAAAAAGATTGTTTCAGTTTGGTAGTTAAAATTTTTCATCGTGTATGTTTGAACTGAGTTTGAAGAAAAACTTGATAAAAATTCAAACACATTTTCTGGCCGATCTCTGATCACCAATGTTTAAAAGTCTGGCCTGCCGGTTTTGATTTTGGCCGATACCATTTTTTTAAAACTAGCTGACACTTTCAGGTGTTATAAGATCACAATACAACTTCATTGTTCCAGTCTTATTTTATTGAAATTTTTGAACAATACTTTTGAAACAATACAAACTTGTTTTAACTGGACCTTAGGTAGTGCTCACAGCAGAGCATAAGGGGGCAGTGGCTGATGTTCAGACCTTTGTGGAGGTAGAGAAGCGGGTCTTTTCCACCGATCATCTAAGGATCGGCCGATCTCTGATCTCCAAAAATTAAGGAAACTGGTAGGGATGCATGATATATTGGTATTGATATCGGTATCGGCCGATATTGGCAATTTTTTAGAATATCGGTATCAGTCTGATATGTAAAACAGGGATGATATTAACGTGTAATACTTATTTCCCACTTTTTATCTTTGTGTTTCTGTTCTGGGAGGGGAGTTGGTTGGTTGAGCAGCATCTCTTTGATCATAATAGTGATATTGACGCTGCGCATCCAGGAATAACTGAAGTAGAGCCATGTCAGAGGTCTGGTCATTTATTTACTGTATCAAAAAAGACTCAAGTGTGTTTGTGCGTATATGTATAGTATAATTTGTGTGTTTGTGTAATATCGGTAGATATTGGTTATCGGCCATAACAGCAATAATTATATCGGATATCGATATCAGCTGAAATTTTCATATCGGTGCATCCCTAGAAACTGGTGCAGATAAATGGGCTGGTCGATCTATCGGTGCACCTCTAATTGTCAGATTTTGAAAGTTACATTTCTTCTGAAAAAAGAGAGCAAATAATTTACAGGATGGACGGGACATTTTCTAACACATTTGTTGAATCTAAAATGACCAAGAGAACCAGGTGGCCCGACGTACTTTAAAATGAATTACAGAGTCCAAAGAAAGAAACTTTGAAAGCTCTTCTCAAAACCTGTGAACTATTGATCAACTTCTTTGCAATGATCAAAGGAAATCTTTCCTCAGCAGATACATGCAGAATATTTGTTTTCCCTGTTGTAAATGCCAGGGCTTCTCTGTAGAACACAATGTGCCAGCAGTCAATTCCAAGAAGCAAATAAAGTCACTCAGCTCTTTTTGGACACTGCAGGTACGATATTTTCTCCCCACACCATCTCTGTTGTGTCTCTTTTCCCTTTTTTCCCCCTGGATTCACTCTCTCCTCCGGTTACTCCTGTTCTCCCCATGTAACACCCCCTCCTATAAATATATGCATCATATCTTTCTGTCCTATCATAAGCAGAAATCCTCTCTCACACACCCTCCGGTTTTCTGCGCACTCTTAAGCTCCTCACGGAGTATTGCAAACTGTCACCCTACACAGTGAGCGTGGATGCATGCTCATTCTCCACACAATATCTCACTGCGTGTTCACATCCACGAATCAGTTCCCTGACCGTGATCTGAATTATGTAACGAGAGGAGGAAAACAAATAACTTAGCAGCGGTGCCATGTTTCAGTGGGGGTTGATGGGATGCTGTGACACGACCCTAAAGACCCACGTTCCCTGGTACAATGCCTACACTGCAGTTCAGTATATTTTTCATTTGTTTTAAAAGACATTCGAAGGTGAGCCGAGCATCTTTTATGACTTTCATCAATTAACCCTGGGGTTTAGGTACTGGGGAACATAGGGATGACCCTGAAGCCCAGAACAGGAGGTGCAGGAAGCAGACTAGTTTAAATAATTGACAATTAACAGATTAGTTGACTAACAAGTGCTTTCGACTTCAGAAAGTAATCATTTGATATGATTTACTTTTAGAGTTGCCTCGATTCAAAATAGGCACCACAGCTTTTCAACCCTAGCCAATAGAAATGTTTGTAACTCAATCATCTCTACAGAAACTGGGTCTATATTTGGAGTGGTAGTAGCTGTAAGTTATCCCCAACTGAGCGCTACCCGTTGCCCAACATCTTTGCGTAAAATTTTGGCATTAAGAATTAGTATCAAACCCTGTTTGTTAGCAAAATATCACAGAGCAGTGTTTCCCAAAGTTGGGGTCGGGACCCAAAGTGGGGTCTTGAAACATCAAGTTGGGGTCCTGAAAATTTTTTCGGAACTAATTACATTTTTGCCTTAGTTGTTACAAAGGAGTGAGGTTAGTGTATTTAAAATGGATAAATGTTGTATAAATATATTGTTACTATGCCCATGTTTAGTTGACCTGATACAAATGTTTATCATCCAAAAATATCTGGTGTCACAGGTCTCTGCTACTGTTATTTTGTGGGTCAAAAGCTGAAAAGTTTGGGAACCACTGCACTTTGGTTCCCAAAGTTGGGCTTGGGACCCAATTATGGGTCATGAAGCACCTTGGATAATCTCCAGAAATCAATTTAAAGGGTAATAAAATAATTGTTGATGTAATATTTTCCCTATAACTATTACAAAAATACAAAATAAATAAAAATAAGTATTTTTATTTGTTACAAGCTGTTTAGCTTGTCAAAAAGCCTGTGTTTTTAGGATTATTAAAGTTCGTATCCTCAGACCAGTAATATTTGGGGTCACAAGTTTTTGCCATGAATATTTTGTGGGTCAGAAGATAAAAAGTTTGGGAACCACTGACATAGAGAGTAATAATCAGATGCACATCTATTACATTTTGGAATCAAGTCATTTCAAGATGGCCGCCAGAGCTAATCAACCTTATAGCTAACAAAAATGCTTCTTTTTTTTTTTTAAATAACAAAAATGCTTCTAACTCAGTCTTTTCCACACAAAAATGTAGCTGAATGTTGTCCACAACAGAAGGTTAATATAAATACTGTATATATATTATGTTAGTTTTTTGTTTGTTTGTTTATTATTATTATTTCTATAAATATATTTTTGGACACATGTTCTTTGGCACCTGCTGCACCCCAACTTCCCTCATGGATCACAGACATGGGATGATTTATTTTTTTTTTTTAAGTGGAGAATGAAGCTGTCAGATGATGCACAGTAAGAACTGAACAAGTAAAGGTTTATAAACAATAAAATAACTCTCAGACACACTGTCAACATGTTCAGTCACCTTTAGCTCCCGCCGCGGGAGCAGGTGTTTCCAGATGTTTGCAGCCTGCAGCTGTTCTTCACCTCAGCGGAACACATTCCTCTGAACGCCCTCGGCGGGACTCCGAACACACATTTATTCAACATCTTATTTAAGCCGAACTGGACCTGGACTCCTGGTTCCGCTGTCACAGCTGATTCTTTAGAAAACAGCAGGTTGGTTGCTGCGGTTGCGAGTTCGACTCCCGGTGCTTCCTCCGGTCCCGCAGGTCACAGTGCAGGGTCCGTGGAGTCCATGTGAGTGAAGAGCGCGCGTGTTCCTCTCTCACTTTCCTGGCGGCTCTTCAGATCGCGTGACGTCTCCAGGCTCGGTTCGGTCGTCCTGCGTCACGTCCACACCGGGGAGCTCCCGGGTCCACCGCACCGACCGGCAGAGTTCAGGCTGAGCTCAGGTCTCAGCCCCGGTCCCCCGGTCCTGAGTCTGAGCAGAGCGCGCACGAGCCGGGTCCAGATGGAGAGGACACCGCGCTGCTGGACAAACTCTTTAAAAGCGCAGGAGAGCGCGCCGAGCGCCGCGTGCCGCCACACACGGAGCTGTGAGCTTCATGTGGCGCCGCGCGAGCTGCTGAGGTGGAGGCAGGCCGCCACCTGGTGGACAATCACCTGAACTACCCGTTCTGATGAAGACTTCATCACCTGCTTCCTGCCTGCAGCCTGTCACCTTTCATTCACTAACTCAGAGGTGTCAAGTTACTAAGTACAAATACTTTGTTACTTTGCTTAAGTAGTAATTCTGGTTGTTTATACTTTAGTGGAGTAATTATTTTTCAGCCTACCTTTTACTTCTTACATTTTAATTCAATTATCTGTACTTTCTACTCCTTACTTTTTAAAAACGCAAAACTTATTTGATTTCTTTTTAACTTTGACTTGTTTTTATTCCATCTTTTCATTGTTCAGAAAAAAATTATTAAATATAAATCTATCCAGACACATGGAGCCCATGGATAGAGTGAATTTGATTGTGGTTGTTGAGAAGTGTAAATATATACCATTCTGACTTCCTATTGGATTGAACTCACTCCATCACACCTGTGTGACACAAATCACATCACATTCCAGCAGGACAGACTGTGGCACAGTGATTCCCAGGGTTACACGAGCATATTACGGTGGTATGTGGTAAAATTTCCCAGGTGCTCAAAAATAAAAGAGTAAAAACAGCAATGTGGAAATTATGGTTTTGACACAAAATGGATTCCAGTATAAAAAGCAGAATCTCACAGAAATTGCTCTTTTGGGTGAGTTTGTGATGTATTTTTGACATTGCTGTTTTCTGCACCTGCCATTAATTCCAGGCTTACTTATTTAATTACTTATTCACTTTCAAGGCAACATTTTAATCTTTATCTTTAATCTTTCTTTGAAAAGAATAAAA